ATTATACATAATGAACTTGTAAAATTACTTTTCCTTACCCTTTAAATATGAGTTCTTTATCGTGAAATTCATTTTTCATTTTTCATCCCTATTTAGGTTTTTTTTTTTTGAACAGAAATAATATATTTATTTATATATTAATAAGCGGAGTACAAAAAGTACCCCAAATCCATAACAATACTGTTAGAAAAGTCTAATTTTCCCTGAGTGAAATAGCAAAGTGTCGACACCCACTATAAGTGTCGACACTATACTCGTGACGAACTTCAATCTACCGTTGCATAATCCTCATATCTCCCTATACAGATCATCAAAATCTTCCCAATATTGAATTCCACTGGCAATCACATCATTGAGCATGCATTGACTATATCTACTTAACCCACTCAATCCACGAAGGAGTAGACTATAGTCAAAGAGCTGCTCAATGTAGCCATCATGACCCAACTCCATTTCTATACCAAGCAAAATTGTACAGCCCTATATCTCCTCATCAGTCCCTCTTTTTCCGACCAGCATGGAGACTCTTAAGACATTCTACTGGGTTAATTAGCCAATCTGTGAGGGTAAAAGCATACCTGTCCAGATTTGCAGTAATCCATTGGAAGGATCGCACTTATATGATTTCCAGCAACTTTCTCGAGTCAGTTTTATTATCTTGGAAAATCATTTGATTCCGAGCAAGCCACACTGTCCAGATTATAGTACTCCAAATGCAATCCCAGCCTTCTTTTACCTTTGGATCTTTGCTCCATTTCCCAAACATTTGAAACGAATTCCAGCAATCCCTTTCCAACCGAATCTCTATTCCCCACCATTTAGCGCATTCTTGCCACACCCAACTGGTTATTTTGCATTTCAGAAATAGGTGTTTGGAGTCCTCATCTTCCACTTTGCAAAAGACGCATTTGCCATCTTCTGATTCTCCAAGAATCCCTCTAATGACCAAGTTTACTTTTGTTGGGATTCTGTCAAGCAAAAGTTGCTAGTTGAAGGCTGAGACTTTACTTGGAAATTTGGGATTCCATATTCTTTTGAATGTCGAGATCTCATTTGTTTCTATCTGATCTTTTGTTAAGATTGAGTATGCTGTCTTAGTGGAGTATTGTCCATCCTTGTCATGGACCCATTCCCACGAGTCAGGCCTTCCTTGCGTGATCCTCTTGTCTTCTATCAATTGTTGGAGCTCCTTTGCCTCTTCAGTCTCCCATTCAAATAGCTTTCTTCTCCATTGGAGGTTCCAACTCCATTGTTCATTTCCGTCATTTCCCATTTGGTAGCACTTGTTGTCCTTTCCTGTAGATAACAAATACAGTCTAGGGTATTTATTAGCAAGATAGCCCACCCCGCACCAGTTATCCCACCAAAAGCTCACCCTCTTACCATCCTCAAGCTTTATTCTAAAACCTTCCAACAGCCATCCTACTCTCTCCCTATCAATTTTATCAATGCAGCATACATCCCTCCACCATGTAGAGCCTAGTCCTTCTTTTTCTTTAATCCAGTCCAGCCAATGTCCCCCTCTCTCTCCATACTTCCCTATAATTACTCGCTTCCACAACCCCTCCATTTTTTCAGCAAAACGTCCCCACCATTTACCCAACAACGCCAGGTTAAACTTCCTCAACTCCCTCACACCCAACCCGCCTTCCTCCTTTTTTTTACACACCTTATCCCAGTTGACCCACTTTATTTTTCTCTCCTCACCCCCACCCCCCATAAAAAACTTCTACGAATTTTATCAATAGAGTAGAGTATACCTTTCGGGATTAAGTAGACTGACATGAGGAACACAAGCAGGCTAGACAACACTGAATTAATGAGCGTGATACGGCCTCCCAAGGATAAATACCGACCCTTCCAAGTAGTTAGTTTTTTTTTTAAATGAATCCACCATTGGCTGCCACATTGCCACTCTTTTGTGATTTCCTCCAATTGGGATCCCCAAATATTTGAATGGAAACTCCCCTTCCTTACAACACAACCTGAAAGCCATCTTATTTCTCCAGTTGTCTTCAACCCCTATCCCCATTAATTGGCTCTTCCCAAAATTAATTTTAAGACCAGACACCAGCTCAAAAGTTCTCATTATGCTTTTAATAACCCCGATATTGTCCTCCGATGCCTCTCTAAAAAAAATCGTATCATCCGCAAATTGTAGGTGTGACACCGAGACTCCTTCATTCCCCACTGCCACTCCTTTATATAGCTGTTTCTCCACTGCAGAGGATACTAGCCCATTCAATCCTTCAGCTACTATTAAAAATAGGAAGGGTGATAGCGGGTCACCTTGTCTTATCCCCTTGCTAATCGGGAATTGATTTGTTGGGCTTCCATTAATGAGAATGAAACCGAGCTCGATGCTAGACATTCCCGTATCCAATTTCTCCAGATTGTATTGAATCCCATTCTCTTCATCATATAATCAATGAAATCCCAACAGACATTGTCATAAGCTTTCTCAAAGTCCACTTTGAACAGAAAGCTTTTCTTCTTCTTTCTCTTGGCCTCATCAATGACCTCGTTCGCTATCACAACTCCATCAACTAGCTGTCTACCCCCGATGAATGCCATTTGCTATTCCCCGATGATCTTTGGCAGCACTTTCCGAAGGTGATTTGCCAACAATTTTGCTATAATCTTGTACATGACCTCAATAAGCGAAATCGGTCTGAATTCTTCTATCCTTTGTGGGTTCTCAACTTTTGGAATCAAGACAATGAAGGATGCATTCGATCCTCTTACAAGTCGTCCGAGCCTATGAAACTCTTGTACAAAATCGATGATCTCTGATTTGATGTCTCCTCACATCTCCTTAATAAATCTGAAGTTGAAACCGTCTGGGCCTGGGGATTTTGAGGACCCGCATTCCCATATAGCTTGTTTGATTTCCACTTCAAAAAATGTGGCTGTGAGGAGTTCATTGTCTACCCCTGAAATCTGGTTGAAACTAATCCCATCCAGCCTCGGTCTTTGCCAATTTTCTTCTGTAAACAGTTCTTCAAAGTGTTCTGCAACTGCTTTTTTTTATTCCCAGTACCCCAGTGTGTTGTACGCCCTTTATCTGGATGTAGTTGATTTCATTTCTTCTGCTTCTTCCCTTCACACACCTATGGAAGAACTTTGTCTTCGCATCCCCTTCTTTCAGCCACGCCATTCTTGACTTTTGCTGCCACATTCTCTCCTTGATTCTCAAGTGCTTCCATAGATCTAAAAAGCAATTTCTTCTTTTTTCAATGTTAGTAGCAGACAATGTGTTCTTCTCTCCTTGTTCATCTATTTCCGCTATCATCTTTTCAGATTCACTGATTTTTCTATCCACATCTGCCATTGATTTGCTGCTCCAGTCCTTTAGTGCTTTCTTGGTCATTTTCAGTTTCTCCTTAAGCTTATATCCCTTCCCTCCATTTATTTCACTTGAATTCCATGTTGTTCTGATAATCTCCTTACATTCTGGGTGCTCTAGCCAAGCATCAAAAAATTTAAATGGTTTTGGACCCTAGTCAATCTTCTCTTCCTTCAGTAAAATAGGGCAGTGATCCGACACCGATCTACGCAAACCCCATTGTTTCACATCTCCCCATATTGAAAACCAACCTTCCGAAATCAAGAATCTATCAATTCTACTCATGTATTGTCCATTAGAGTTATACCACGTATACTTTCGACCCACCAGTGGTAAATCAATCAGCCCAGCATTGTGAATAAAATCATCAAATTCTTCCATCTCTACAGACATCCCCTTACATCCTGCTCTTTCTTCTATACTTCCAACAGCATTAAAATCTCTTGCGAGGCACCAATTCCCATTTCTACTCGAAATTAAACACTGCAGTTCCTCCCACAAGGCTCTCTTACCCATCACTTAGCAAGGTGAGTAAATATTCAGAATGTGCACAAGTATTTCGTCCTCCCCCCATACACCAGTCACCCCTATAAAATTATCTCCCTCAATCACCTCTATCAATTTTAATACCTTAGGGTTCCAGACACACAGCAAACCACCCGACAGGCCCACCGATGGTTTTGAAATCCACTCCATGTCATATGTACCCCAAACCCCTCTGCATATACTATTATCTACTACTTGCAACTTTGTTTCTTGTATAGCTAAAAACTCCACTTTTTCTTTCTTAATTAACTCCCTAATTTGCCTTTTCTTCCCAATCCCTCCAAGACCTCTAATATTATAGGACAACAATATCATCAGGATCACGACATACCTTCCTCACATCCCCAGAACCGTGAGTTGCCTTCTCTGCTTTGTCTCGGCTGTCTCTACTCTCCATCTCTTCAATTCTTCGAATGATCTCCCTATCATCCTCGGCCACTACCCCTAGCTTTTTCACAAGGTCCTAAATCTCCAGTGCTAAATGATTCTTCATTTGCTTCTTCAAACATCTATTACAATTCTGGATTCCGCTATCACCTACTGAGTCGCCCGCAATCTTCCCCTTTGAGCAAGGTAGAAAACTTGGCTCGGTTCTCCCCTCTGCGTCTTGTTTGCACTGTTTTCTTCTCCCTTTCTTTGATTTTGAACCCATACCCACTGCTCTTGATTTAGCATACACGGATCTACACATCTTGATTCTCCTTTTCTTCTTCGTTGAGCCCTCTTCTCTTTGCTTCTTGATCCATTCTTCTATGCCTCTTTGTTCTGCTTCAAATCCTTTCCAGAACGGGTCCCCTTCTGCAATGTCCAAGCTGTTCTTTTCTACCTCCTTATTTCTAGAAGAGTCATCAATAATTGACCGGCTTTTAATTTCCTTCCCTTTTTGTGTTTGAGTCCAGCCCATATTTGTTGATTCTTCAAAATTGGTTTTTTCAGCTTGTGAATTGAGCTTCCCCTCTTTTTCCGTCCAAGCTTGCTCGCTAAGGCCCAGCTATATGCTGCCTTCTTTCAGCCTGGATTTTACACTCAGGCCCAACTTTATGCTGCCTTCTTTCAGCCCGGACTGCTCACTAAGGCCCAGATGTTCTCCCTCCTCAACGCCCAAGCTTCTGACAAAGCAACGTCTCCTTGCAACAGCCGCGCCTCCTCTGCCCCTACTCTAATCTCAACCTCTTTCAAATTTTGAATGTGCTCCAGGCTGTCTTCCCTTGTGTTGCACTGTTTCCCCTTCCCCGATGTGGCATGTTCCCGAGGTTTCTCCATTCCCCTTCTTTGCCAACCCACCACGTCATCATCTTCTTCCTGGAGACAGCTTCCATTCACCTAGGCAAACTCCTCTGCAAATACAAACTCTTGTTTCTCCCTCTCACTTTCGGTGGACCATCCTTCATTCTCTTCGGAATCACTTTGGTTTGTTGGGAAAAAGTCATGTTTTAGGGAAAAAAAACTATTTGTAAATTCCTCTTCTGTGAATTTCAGATTGTATATTCTCCCATTGATTTGGATTTGGCGCAGAACTGAAATTGTATTTCTAATCGGAGTAGAGATCAAGAATCTTGCTATGTCAAATCTCATTTTTTTCCTTGTGTTATCATCTAAACAGATGAAATTTCCCCAAGAACAGGCCATGTTTGCAAAGAAGTCCAGCCCCTATACATTTAATGGTGCCCCTTAACATCTAATCCACACGAATCTCTCATTAGCTACTGATTCCGGTGTCCAAGGACGCACATCTTCAAACCATTGGCTTAGCCAATCTGAGGCCATTTCCACAAGATCCTTCAGTTCTTCTTTCTCCTCACAATCTAACAAGACCATCTTCCCCCCCATTGCTCGAATTTGACAGGAAAAATACCCCTCCATGTAAAATTTCTCCTGGAGATTTCGAACCATCTCAACGGAATGAACCGTTCCTACATAACACCCTTTAAGCCATTCATAGTCTTCTGGTTTTGCATTATACTCCATTCCCTCCCACCTTTTTCCTATTCCTTTTTCCTTCCAAACTCTCCTATTTCCGAAGCTTCCATGTTCGGTTTTGGTTTTGATTCTACTGCTTGTTGGCCTTCTTTCTACCTCTTGATTGAGCAGAAAATCACTCCCCTTTTTCGGTCCTCTTTCCTGTAATCCCAGCACCACTTCTGCATAACTTCTGTCTTGAATTTTTGGGGCAACAGCTTGATAATTCCTCCGCTCCCCTTCTTCTTTCTTCACATCATCATATCTTGGTGTGTTCACCCATAATTTTTGGCCTCCAACCCAGATTTGATCAAGTTGCATTTCCAGCTCCCTTCTGTTTATAACGTCTAAGAACCTCACGAACCCGAATCTACTCCCATTTCTGCTTCTTTTGTTAGGATTATAAATGTCATACACCCTTCCAAATTTTTGAAAAGTTCTCCACATGTCTGCATAGCTCCAGTCATCCGGAAAATTAGAGAAAAAGTATGGTGTGGCTTGCTTGTACAATCCCTTGTCATAAGCACCCTCGTTCTTCCACTTCCGAGTCTGGTTCTAATCGTGTTGCCTTTGCCTCCGTTCCTCTGTTTTCCTCCTTCTGGTTCTGCTTCTACCCCGGGATCCTGCACGCTCTTGATTCAATGTCGTCCGCCTTGCTAGTGACCGTCGTCCGTCAACCACCCCCCTCTCTCTCTCTCTACCTCTCTCTCTCATTTTTTTATTGTTGCTACATATATGTAATGGATTTTCATCCCTATTTAGTGAAATTAACAAATTCAAAATTCATAAACTTTCAAAACCCATCAAAAA